GATTCTCCCTGAGGTCCTCCGACTTCAGATGCACCATTTCCTCCTTTACATCAAGTTAAGGGCAGAGACAAAATACACTGGTTCTGGCTTAGCTTTCAGAACACCCCTGAGTTCTGGCAGAGGCCAACCTGCTGCTGCTGGAGTTACTGTTATATGTCCCAGTCAGGATATGTGTACAGCCTTCACCAGATAATGTGGTTTGGGAGTTAAGGAGAGCAGAAAAGATGAGAAGAAAACGATGTCGGTGGGCCAAGTGAGAGTTTGCAGTGGGCTTTAGTTAGGCCAGGGGTTCTTAACCTTTTTTTTCATGTCTTGGCCCCCTTTGGCAGTCTGATGAAGCCTATGGACCCTTTCTCTAAATGCATAAAATAATCTACAAGGATTTCAAAGGGAAACAATTATATTTGAAATATGGTTATCAAAATGTTTTGGAAAAAAAAACTTTAAAGATCCCAGGTTAAAATCTCTGACTAGGGTAAAGTATTACTGGGGAGAAGTCTCATTGTGGAACTACCAGCTTGTCTATCTGAGGCCTGTGAGGTAGTGGCTCCAAAGGACCCCTTCTTTGCTCTTCCCACTTCTTTTCCACTCTTCACAAAGAAGTAGGGTCACAATTGCTTGCCCTCCTTGCAGCCTCTATCCTTCAATGACTTTGGGCAGTGAGTGAGTGAGGGCAACAGGCCTGTTGCTTGTCTCAGGGCTCTGGTAGGGTGGAGGTGAAGGGAGAAGGAGGGAGCTGGAGTATTCCAGTGGAGCCCTTGGGCTGGAGGTAAAGGAGGGCCTAGAAGGTTAACTGATTTAATTTAGAAGCTAATAGAGGTGAGCAAAAAGAGCTGCTTGGAAGAAATTTGATTGTGGTAATTTGGGTGGAATGGGCAGGTGGGATTCTGTGCCTTAAGGGGGCCTGCCAATTCTTTCAAAGATCTGGATAGAGTCTGAAGCTGTATTAGTCCATGTCTTCTAGTTGACTCAAGGAGGAACTCTTCCCACCTTTCCTCCAATACACCTGAAATGAAACCCAATTTAGAGTGCTTTGAGATCAGTTAATAAAGGAACTTGTGCAGACTCCTATTGAGCAAGACACCAGACCCCAATCCTTATTTTAGATTGAAGGAGCCTATGAGTTACTGTCATAACAGAGGTATCCCAGGTAGATACATGGAGAGAGACCATGTCAGCTACACACACACACACACACACACACACACACACACACACACACCAGTTTTCATGAGCACCAAGATGTGTGCCATTAATCAGTTGGAAAGGATTCCAAAGGTCTGTGTGTGTCTGAGGAAGGATGAGAATGTGTATAACCAAGGGAGTGGTATGTGAAAATGTGTGAGACAGAAAGTTGTGTGAAAAATTCAATTATGAGGATGCTACACAAAAATATGTAGAAGAAAAATGTCTGTGCAATTCTGGTACCAAAGTACTGGAAATACAATAGATATCCATAGACTGGGGAAAAGAATTACAAAATATGCAACATGAATGTAATTGAGTATTACTATGATAAAATGATTGAATATGATAAATACAGAAAAATACAGAAAACAAATATAAACTAATGGAAAATGAAGTAAGTGAACTGGGGAAACAATATACACTGCCACAATGCATAAATCAAAATAACATCAACAGAAATAGAAACCAAATGCTGTGAAATTTAAAACACCAACCTTGGCCCCAAGGAAAAGATCGAGAAAGTACTTTCCTCCCTTCTTTGCAGAGGTGGAAGGCTAAATAACGTAGGACTTGGTTAGGGTTGATTAATTTTGATGAACTGTTTTTTCTATCCTTTTTAATTCTTTGTTATAAAGAGTAGCTCTCTGGTAGAGAGAAAGGCTAGGGACACAGTAGAAAATATAAGTGATATAAACACAAAAGTTATCAAGAAAAATATTTTAAAAGAAAATATGTGTAATTTAAATTATGGAGGATGTGAGTAACTTGTAACACATTCGAGAATGTGTGCAAATGGGAAAAGCGGGTGAGGAAGTAAGGATGGCATTTCAGAAGATGTGTCAATGGGGAATTTATGTGAGGATGTAACTGAAAATGTTGGGTGCAAATGTGTGGAGCCAAGGATGTTATAGATTAATGTAATAGGGTCCTGTGAGAGGATGTATTCTTGTGAATATCTGAGGTTAAGAACTGAGTTGTGTAAGGATTGTTTTTTCTGCCTGTTTCAAGTGAGGAGTTGGAATGGAGCTGGCTGCCGTGGACAGTGGAAAGAGCTCCCATCAGAGAAGTACTGGGAGTCCTGGGCCTCCCATTAACTAGCTTTGTGACCTAGGGCAAGATATTTACATTTTCTGAGTCACAGTTTCCTTGTCTTTAAAAATGGAAGTTTGTTTCTCCCCATGCCCCTAATCCCCTCCATCCCTTGCACCGTATGCCTTACAGGGTTGTTTTGAGGAAAGCACTTGGTTAACCTTAAAGTACAATAGAGACAACAGCCAGGATTCCCACCAGCTCAAATATATACTAATGATTCCTATATTTGCCTCTTATTTTTCTAAAGCATTTTCGCTTCTATGGTGATCCTCCAATACTCCAGTGGAAGATTCACAACCTGTAAATTCTATGAGAGCAGAGATTGCGTCTCAAATGAATTTTGTATCCCCAAGTTCATTATAACGGTGCACTCACCCCCGCCTATGCTTGCCCATAGCCTGGTGTAGCAAAAAGGAAGGAAGGAAGGAAGGAAGGAAGGAAGGAAGGAAGGAAGGAAGGAAGAAATTGAGGGAAGAAAGAAAAAGAAAGAAGGAAGAAAGGAAGGGTAAGGAAGAAGTAAGAGGAAAGGAGGAAGGAAAAAAGAAAGGAAGAAATAAAGAGAGAAAAGGAAAGGAAATAAGCACATATGTAGTGCCTATTATGTATCAGGTGTTTTAAGGTTAAGTGCTGTAATTTTTGTCCATTTTATATTTGAAGAAATTGAGGCAAAAAGATTAAGAGACTTGCCCAGGGTCACACTAGTGTCTGAGGCCAGGCTGAGCTCAAGTTTTCATGACAACAGTCCCTGTCCTCTGTCCACTGTAACACCTAGCAAAATTGCCAGAAAGAAAAGAAGAGAGCACTAGGTTTACCATTGTATTTATAGAGCTGACTGCAATCGCAAGCTGGTATGCTGGTCTATAAGGGATGGCTAGGCTTTCTTAACAGAGATAGCCAAGGGATCTGTGATTTCTTTAGTATAGAGAATTCCCAGTAAAGAAACTTTCTCTACCATGGAGGTCAAGCGCCTAGTGGGCCCTTAGTTGTATGAGGCACTGAGCTAAGTAATTTGCTTCAGATAATAATGGTTCCAAAGCTCTCCTACACTGCCTCTCCTCTTCTAACGTACTCCTATATGAGCACTCACAAAGACGCTTCCATCGGTTTGTGTCTATGTGTGAAGCTTTGTGGAGAACAGCTTTGGAGCAGACAAAAGTGGGAAAAATAACTGTGGACACGAAGGCAGCGAACAGGGATGAATATGGGTGTGCCAAAGTGTCAGTGTAAGATTCTCCCCTGTGGGGCCAGAATGGGTTGAATACAGCATTGCTGAGAGACCATGGAAACAGACTGATGAAAGCAATTGGAAAGAAATGAAGGTGGGAATAGCGTTACCTCTCCAGGATCAATCACATCCAGGGCTGGGTCTCCAATGAGCTTCTCAGCCTGTGATGGCCTCTGTGGGTGTTCTCATCCTGGCTCTAGTGTATTTCAAATGGGTCTGCAAGTATCTCTGAGGCCACATGTTCTTGATGTGTCTCTGGGTCTGTGCGTGTCATTGAGTGGGTGTATTTTAGGCTAAGAATCCCAAGTATATTGTATCTCAGGGAAGGGTGTGTCTTTCTCTTGGAAAGGGTGAGGGGGTGCATTTGTGTGTCATCCCTGCATGGCCTGGACTGTATAGAGCTCTGTTAGACCAGGGTGCCTAGGTCTGTGTTTGTCCCTTGCTGAGTTTGAATGCGGCCCTGAATGTGGGTGCCATGTCTTTGTGGGTCTCCTCTGAGTCTCGGAGCTATACTCTCCTATATGAATCAGGCATTCTTAAGCTGTGACTGCAGCCGCAGTGCAGCCCAGATGTGCAGAAGGATTGCATTCTCCTACTGCCTCCCTAGGGCTGGGTCCTGGAGGAGTCAGGGGAAACCTAGTGCCTGCCCCGGCTGGGCCCCCAAGACCAAAAGAGGTCAGCCTTGCTGGCAGATTCTCCTTCTCTCAGAGGACTTCCCCTGTGAGCTGGGCAAAGCCAGGCCACTTCTGGTAGGAACCAACTTACTGGGCTCGCTGTTCTAGACACTTGGGTATGTGTAATCGGACTGGGATTCCAGGGGCGGGAGAGTGTTCGAAGATTTTCTCTGCAGGCTTCTTCCCTTCTTTTTCATGAGGGACTGATTCCTTCCTCCGCATCCCACAACTTAAAGAGGGCTGTGGGGTCTGACCCTGCTGCATCCTAGAATGCAGATAGGTGATCTGATAAAAGACTTAGCCGTAATACCAGCAATGATGCCCAGGAGAATAGGTAGCAATTGTTGGCACTTAATAAAGTGGGAACGGGGGAGTGTGTCTCGAAGGAGAATGACCAAGGATGAAGCCTTTCATTCACATAGATCTCTTTGTCCCAACCCACCTCCTTCTTCGCTTGAACCCAGGGGCACTGAAAGTCGTTGGGGGGTCCAGGGGAACTGGGTGGGGTCAGTTGGCCAGGAGGGCGGACTGCTGTCCGGTGGGCGTTGGCTGCACAGATCTCCCTCTTTTTCCTGGGGGAGGGGCAGCTGCGCTGCCTTCTCCTCTACACTGCTGGATCCGCCCCCCTGCTATTGGCTCAGGGGAAGGGTTGACATCAAAGCCCCGGCCCTATATAAGCTGAGGCCAGGAAAAGAGGCCCGAGAAGGGTTAAAATCGTCCCCTAGAGCGCCAGCGCCATAATCAGCTCTGCAGCTAAGGGGCCAAGGCAGAAGCAGTAGCCAGCCGCCCAGCCTCCCGCTCCCCAGCCCTGTTCTGCTTCATCCCAGCCACCCGCACCTTCCCCGACGGGACGGGGCTGTAGCGGATGGCGCGGCGTTAGAGCCAACTGCAGAGAGGCGAGGCTCAACTTGGGGCCACTGGGGGGGCCGGGGAGCCGCGTCCGCTTCACCATGAACCTAGTGGGCGGCTACCCCCATCCACACCCTCACCATCATCCCCCTCACCCTCATCCCATGCTGCACGAACCCTTCCTCTTCGCTCCAGCCTCACGGTGTCATCAGGATCGGCCTTATTTCCAGAGCTGGGTGCTAAGCCCCGGAGACGTGGCCCCAGATTTTCCTGGGAGGCGACCGCCGCCGGCTACCTACAGCCCGGATGCGGCCGGGACCGCGGGGCCAGCGCAGAGCCCTGGCAGGCTGGAGGCGCTGGGTGGTCGCTTGGGCAGGCGGAAAGGCGCGGGGCCCAAGAAGGAAAGGCGGCGCACTGAGAGCATCAATAGCGCCTTCGCAGAACTTCGCGAGTGCATCCCCAACGTGCCCGCTGACACCAAGCTCTCCAAGATCAAGACCCTCCGCCTGGCCACCAGCTATATCGCTTACCTCATGGACGTGCTGGCCAAGGACGCTCAGGCCGGGGACCCCGAGGGCTTCAAGGCGGAGCTCAAGAAAGTGGACAGCGGCCGCGAGAGCAAGCGTAAGAGGGAGCCGGTGAGTTTCCGGGCCTTTGGGGGCCTCCCTTCCCCTTGGGCCCTAGGGTCAGCTGGGCGTAGAGGTGCTGCCCTGTCAGGGGCCGGGTGTATGGAATGCCAGGGAGTGTAAAGTACGCAAAAATCGCAGGCCCTGGGTTAGGGAGGTGGTGTTTATGTGTTCTTGTATCTGCTTGGACGCGGATGACGTTTATGGCGGGTTTTCTATTGCGTGTGTATAAAGGGGCAAATTGAATTCTTCGCAACACTCGCCAGGGAACTCCCTGTGTGACCTTGAGCAATTCTCTTCACCTCTTTGGGCCTCAGTTTCTTCCTCTGCAAAAGTACTACAAAGACTTTCGGGAAGGAAAGGCTAAGGGTCCTTCCAGTTCGTGTTACTCCTAACAGTGACAGACATTTTGCGTTCTAAGGGCCGTCCCAGCTAGGGCTAACATTTTATGTTCAATGTAGTAAATTCCCTTTCACCACCGACATTCTACGGTCTCTGTTATAACGGCACTTGTAATTCCAACACATTGTGTTCTGTTCTAAAAGAACATCTCCAGTACTAACATTTTATTTTCCAAGTACCCCAGTCAGTTCCTACAAGCCAGAGAGGAGAGCTTCGCAGCAATTGCACTTTTAAAAGCTCGGCCCAAGTCTTTCTTTTTTAATCCCCGAACTAAAAGGGTAACGGGAACTTGCCACCCGGGTTTCTATAAGCTTCTCTTTTCCCGGCTGCGGGCCCGGAGAAGAGATACATCTTTTTGCCCTGGGGGGCCTTCGAGGCTAGATTTCCCGGAAAAGTCAGTAGTCAGGGTGGCCTTTGTGGCAGGGACACACAGCCCTAGAGTTCAAAGATGCTCGAGTACTAAACTAGATTTCAAAGTCACGAACGTTGATTTCTTTAAGGGCACCATTTTGGGCACCCTCAACTAACCGATTCTGCCCTGGACTTCCTCCTGGGTTGTCAGAACGTCGTTGATGTTAGCCTTGTTTGGGGCTGCGCTGTCCTCTAGGTGCCCAGACCGGCCCCGCTGTTGCCTGGGGGCTCTCTGTACTTAATCAAAAGATCCACTTTGGATTTAAAAAAAAACCAACAACAACCAAAAACAAACTAGCTGGAAGGGGGCAGGGGTGGGGCCAGGCCGGAAGGCTGAGGCCCAGAAATCCAGACAGAGAGCAGAGGAGACAGGGTGAGATAGGAATCGGGGCTCTGGTGGCCCAAGGCTCCGTCCAGTCCAGTGCCCTGCGGGGGGTACTGTAAGGGCTTTCAGGATCTTAGGATTTAGAGCTTACAGGAACCTTAAGCAACATCTAGCTCTTCCCACTGAACCGAGAAAGCTGATGGCTGGCTGGGCGGCTTTGCTCCTGGGTTGGCTCTCCCCATCCATCCCCAAGCCCAGTGTTTTCTTCAGTCACCAACTCAAAGCACCCTGACTTTGTCTTGGAAGAGTAGGAAGGGAAGGAGCGAGGGGAAAGGGGGGAGGTGAGTTAGGGGGCTAGGAAGAGAACTAAGAATCGGGGTATTTTCTCTAGTATACCCTCAGGCCGGGCAGCTCGGCAGCCTGGTATAACTTAGCTGAGCGCCAGTTTCAACTTCCAAACCTCATGAGAACCCTATTTCTCAGCCCGCATAGAGGCCAGTTTATGAGCCTGTTTGCCGAACAGAAAGCTGGGTCCTTTATTTGGAAACCTTGTCCCGAGCTCTCCCGAGGAGAGACTGTACAAGCGGGAAGAAAAGTCTAAACCTGAATGTCTTTCGCCCTCTCCCCCTTCTCTTTTCCGGTGTTTGCGGTCCTGATCGGTGCACAGCCCAGCGAAGGGTATCCTCACCCCCTGGGACCCGGAGAGAAAAAGATTAAAGGGCGGACAGGCTGGCCACAGCAAGTCTGGGCTTTGGAGCTCAACCAGTGAGAAGCAGCCTCGGAAAGGGTATTCAGCACTCAGAAAATCCGCCGGGCGCCATCGGAGTACGAGGCAAGACTACTATTTCTGGCTGTCCATTATTTTCTCATTCTGTTATGGATATCTTGAGTACTCCTGAGAGTTGTCAGCAGCAAAACTGGTCAAGTGCAATGCCCTTTGAAATTTTTTTTTGATTCTTTAAGAGAAAGAAAGAAAAATATATTATATATATATTATATAAAATATATCCAAGCAAACGGAATGGGGAGCCGGCATTGACAGGCACATGAGAGGCAAATGGGACCAACCTTGCTGGCCCTCATTTCCAACCTTTGACTCACCTTTTCCGTCCTAGATTGGAAATCTGATTTTGCTCTCTGTCTCCTTTTACGCATTAATTTGCAATATCACCCACTCATTCTCTGCACAGCTTCTTCCTTTTCCGGGACTCCGGTAACCATATATTACCAAGGGAAAGGAGAGCTCAGTTGGTCTGGGAATTATTTTTTTTTTAAACAAGTGTTGGTTTGGTATCTCCACTTCCTGCCTAATGCCTTATAATTCCTAATTCCAAGGAAAACCTCTTATTCTTTGTAAATAAAATCTTTGTTCCCATCACTGAAGTTTTTATATATTTAAACTACCTAATTCTGCCTGCCAGGGCTCAGGTTTTTTGGGCAAACCTTGCTCATCCCTTACTGGTTGTGTTTTGTTTTTGTTTTTATTTTATTTTTGCTACCTCAAAGCTGTGCGATCATTTTCTTGGGGGCAGGTTCACCAAAGCTGACTTTTTATTCTCTTGACCTCAGAATATTTCCACCAAAGCCATTTACGCACAGGGTCAAGGAGGCCAACTTTCTTACTTTTCCATTTAGAGAGCCATCTTAATCTCCCTTTCCCTCCCTCTCCTAAGGAAAGGAAAAAAAGTCAAGAAAGGAAAAATATGTTCAGAACCACTAAAAAAAAATACCCCGAAAAACCTTTTGAATTGAATAGGTGAAGACAAGTTCCTTGAAATAAAAACAGTCCAGTTAGACGTTCTTTGAGGGAAAGGAGAGCTCACCCTAGAACACTCTGGTTAAAAAAGCAGTGTTGAATGATTGGAAAGGAAAGCTATGGTGAAAATGGCCTTCAAGATCACTAGAAATAAAAACTAGGCACCATTGGGTCCTGGGAATTTCTCCAGCATACCAGCACTATAATGTATGCACATATGTATATGGTTAATGTATGTATGTTAGTATATATATGGTTTTACAATACTGGTTGAGTTGGTGGGAGAAAAAGTATATAATAAAAGAATCTCTAATTGGTGGGGGAATGGGAAGTTGAATAGATGTATATCATTTTGCCTCTGTATACATGTAAATGCAAATGCACACCTGTGGGTAAAAGTTTTGGCCCTGTTTACTCGTGAATGTGTGCCTGACTGGAGGGGAATGCACCTATTCAGACTGGGATGTAAATGCCTGCATAAACTGTTGGGGTAACGGTGCAGAAATATAGTTATGCTTGGTCTCTGCGATTGTGACCGAGAGAGGAGGGGGTGGGGGGTTATTCACACTTCTAGAGACAGAAACCAACCTGGGCCTCTCTACCAGCATCAAAGTTGGTTCCAGGAGCCTTTCTGTGTCTATGACCGGGTCCCTGCCAGGGACAGGGAGGAAGGAGCACGGGCTACTTTGCGGAACTTAGACAAGAGACAGACTTAATTGTCTAAAGCAGCTGGAGGGAATGGATGGAGACTTGCAGTAATATAGCTCTCATATTGATATATCAACACTCCTTACAACAACCCAAAGAGGGAGCAGAAGTATCATCTCCACTTTTCAGAAGAAGAAACTGAGATCAAGAAAGGAATCAGTGGCTTGCTGTGAATTAGAGTATATGACTGATTGGAGACTTCGAACGAAGGGCCCCCGACTCAGGACAAGTTGTGCACCGTAAGACCTGCCTGCCAACTATTGGCTCTTCTCTGGCACTCTCTTGATTGGAAAGTGCCTTATTCTTCTTGGTATTGTAGAGTAGGAGCAGGCTTCGAGAGATGGAGTAGCTTGTCCCGTGGTCACGGAGCTAGGGAGGGAAAGGACTGAAGATTGCATGTGGAGAGACTGTGACCAGAGTGCACGGACATGGCGGGTGTATATGGGTTTCCATTACTCGGAGTTGTAAACACCGAGGCGGGGAGGGTAAGGAGTGGCGACGAGGCTAAAGGAGCCTTTCCGGGCCCTAAAGAGTTAATAAAAGGTGTTTTATGGAGATGCCGAGGTGCGGGTCCGCCCCCGCGCCCCCAGTCTTTCCCTCAATTCCCCTTTCTTCCCCCCACCGGCTCCAAACATCAAACAGCTTGGCAGTAAGAGGCAGTTTAAGAGGGCAACACCTTGGCTGCTGTAATGAGGCGGGCGCGGCCCGGCCTCCACCTCCCCCTTCCCCTTCCCCCCCCACCCCCGCGCCCTCCTCCGCAGGCCTCCACTCTCAGGGCCGCCCTCACCTCCGGGGTCCAGAGGGAGCCACAGGCCACACAGGACTAGCGACCCACTATTTTTAGAGGCCCGAAGTATCTATGGCACGGGAAGAATGCACCCCGCGCGGGCTGAGTCCCAGGGATAGGGTAGTTCGAGTCGGGGATGAGGAAGATGGGAGCGGGAGACCAAAAAATCAGGACCCTTCGGAACATGCAGCATCAGAATTGACTGGATGGGGGAGGAGTTGGCATAAAAATTGTCCTAAAGCTATCCTGGACCTCATCATAGAGACCTCAAGATACATGGCCTCTAAATTCGAACACACCTTGTCCCAAGGGCAGTTACTCTGCCCGAATCCAGCCCGGTGTTCCAGAGGCAAGCCTAGTACTGGCCTTACGTTCTAAATAGGTTCTTAAATATTTTGTGAATCACAGTGCCATGAGGCAGTGCTTTCTTGTAAGCAACACTACCAAGCAGGTGGTACCAGTATGATACCCATTTTATATCTGTAAAATGGGGAGCAGAGGGAACAGACAGGGGAAAAGGTCTGGAGGAGAGAAGGTGACTGGAGAATGTAGTTCCCTACGTGAGTGGAGTAATGGAACCGCCTGACAAAGAGCATTTATTAAGTGCTTACCAAGTTCCTGCCACTGTGCTAAGCGCTGGGGACACAAAGAAAGGATAAAATAGTCCTTGCCTTGGGTTTGGAATTAGAAGACCTGGATTCCTAATCCTGGCTTTGCTACTTTTTAATAGGTTTGTTGTGAGGATCAAATTCGATAAGGTATGTAAAGAGCTTTACAAACTTTAATGAGCTATATAAATATTTTCTGGCTATTACTATTACTGCCTATGCAATCAAGACAAGTCACTTCACGGTTCTCGTCCCGTTTCCTCCTCTGGAAAATGAGAGGATCTGAAAGAGACAGCACAACGTTATGGAGAGAGTTGACCTCAGAATAAGGAAAATCAGGGTTCAAGTCCTGACTCTGACTGTGAGTCTGAACAAGTCACTTAAGCGGGCAAGTCTCAGTGCCCCGGGCAACTTGTTAAGGTTATAGATCTTCATTGGTTTAAAAAAAAAAGCTCCCTACACGAAATAACAGGGTCTGCTTGTCAGAGAAAAGGAGGGGATTGAACCAACTGACCTCTAAGGTCCCTTCCAGGGCTAAAATCCCAGGATCCTCTCTGCCGACGCATCTTTTTCTGATGTCGGGCCTGCCTTCTACTGAAGTTGGAACCTCTCCTTAAATTAAAGGTCGTGGAGGGAGGGAGGGTTGTGCTGCATAAAGTGTGAATCCCTGCCCCCACTCCTTTCCCCAAGTTTCTTCCAGCTCCTGCCCTCTACTACCTGGGCCCCAAGAGGGAGGAGATAAGCCTTTGGCATGGAGCTGAAAGAGCCCAATTTTTCATGGAACTCTCTTTGAGTTTTTATTCTTCTCTGCCCTAGCTTCTTCCCTGTGGTTGCTGGCTGCTTCCAGGTTGCAGCTGAAGATGATTTGTAAGAAAAGATACAATAAACGATGCACAAGTTTAAAAAGCCTCCAAATAACATATTTAGGTGAAAATTTATGAGTCACATAGCACTTTCTTCAAAACAATTTATTAAGGCAGTGAGTGCAAATATGCCCATTTTAAAAGATGAGCTAACTGAGGCATTTTGGGGTTTAAGTGACTTGTACAATCAAGGTCCCATTAATGATAGTAAGTCAGGCCCATTCCATCCCCTTACCTAAAAGCCCAAGGTACTTTTCCTCTAAGAGAGCAGCCTGGTGAAGTGGAAAATATGCTAGTTTTGGCATTAGAAAATGGGTTCAAATCCTGACTTTTCTACTTCTTCTGTGTGTCTTTGGGCACATTTCTTGGGTAAAGTGAAAGAGTCAGAATCCAGTGGGCTTTAAGATTCCTTCCAGCTCCAAGTTACAACCCTGAACTTAAAATCAAGCTGAATTCCCATAAAGAAATAAGTATAAGAGATAGAATTTGAACCCAGATGCCCAGTTCACTGTTCTTTTCACTAGAAGAAAACAAGAGGACTTTGAAGACCAAAAATTCAGCAGAAGTCATATCTACATTGTGTTTCCTCAAATATTCAAAGCATCTGCTGACTCTCCTTTCTCATCATAACATGAATCAATAATGATCAAGATTAATGATTGATACACATAACCACAGAAGCCAGAAAAAGTCATCATTCCTTATCTAAAATAGAGCAGGAACACTTTGTCTTACACTTGGAAACTTGTTTAGTTAGTCTTTTGGATGGCGACTCCATTTGCTTAGGTGAACAGGGAAGGAAAGCCTGGCTCCTTGATGCTGAGAGGGCATGCAGGGGGAAGGGGGAAAAGGAAAAGAGGTGTAGACTACTGAAGCAGCTTGGGGGAATCTGCTTTAGCAGGAGTGAGGGCACAGGAGGGAACACCAAGTGCTTACCCTTTTCAGGAATCCTTTGAATTTGAAGAGGGTTTTTAAATTTTCAAAGCACACAGAATCTAGAATGATAGCTGGGAGGGATCTTGGAACACAGAAAGTAGAAGGCAGAGTTGGAAGGAAGCTAAGAGATCATTCAACAGTCATTTAAGCAACCTAGTGGGCTAGTAAAGGCATGGGGAAAGGCCAGGGTGGTGGTGAATATCAAGATAAATATATGACAAAGGCCCTCCCCTTGAGAAAAGATTTCATAAACTAGTGGATTATCTAATCCAACCTCATATTTCAGAGGTCA